ATTGTGTTTTCTTTTTTATTGTGTTTTCTTTTCTTACCCTGTATATAAGTGATTGCAAAATGGAATGTGAAAATGAATAAAATATATTTCAAAAAAAAATATATAAAAAAAATTCATGATATATTTGATCCACAATGAAAGAGGGAGGAATAAGAATACAAATGTGGGAAGGAGCTGAATCCCCAAACTTGCCATCCATAATGTCATTCCTAAACTACACAGGTGCAGTCTCGAAAGTCACACCTTACATAGCAGAATCGTGCAAAGCATTTTTGCAAGGCGGCTTTGATGTGAGTCAAGCATCCGTCCTCCAAGGTGGGCACACTGATTTACTACAGTGGGGTGAGCCTATGTCCAAGTACAACTAGTTTTGTCTGTGTCAGGACCAAGGATCACGGAGGCAACCTAAGGCTGACTCTGAAGCATCACTGCCGAGTCTCCCAAAGCCTTTGAAGAGGGACACTTTCCACAGTATGCCTTGACCTGGGATCTGGTGATCCAAGACCAAATGCAGCCTCCTTGAAGAGTGCTAGACCATCACCCAGCAAGGCTAAGCCTTAATGGTCACATCACAATGTCCCCTTGGGATAAGCACAGTGACATCACAATGATAATTGCTGGCTACAAATGAGGGCACCCCCACACAAGGTTACAGTTATACACTGAACACATGGGAGCAGATTTAATGGAGGCCAATCAAATACGTCTGCCAAAATCAATTTGCACGGAAAGCACATAAATGACAAGGTACACCTACTTTAAGGTGAGTACAGAAGGGACAAATAAAAGGCACGGAAGGGGTTGGTTTTTCTTTCAATGTGCACAAAGGCAAGGAGGGGGGCATTAGAAAAACCAGCTTCCCGCAGTTTCTATTCTGCATCCCTATATACGTTTCATACTTTTTATTTAGCAATAGTTATAGGAATATCTAAAAAAAGAAGCAAAATGTTTGGGGGAACTTAAAGGATGTTTGCTTGGAACTGAGAGAAAATAGTTATTTGATAGCTGGGAAGGGTACTTGGTTGAACATCCCAAGTGACTTAGAGATGCTGGAATTGTTGATTTAAGTTCCATTAACTGTAAAGGCAGCATAAAACCCATGTTTAACTCTGCTCAAATTATTGAGTTTAACCCACTTGACTCGAGCTGATTCATGATTTGTTTTTGATATAATGTCCCCTATCAAGCCAATATGAAACTGTTGGCACAACTATAACTCTCACTGAAACACCCTTCCTCTTCCTCCTCCTCTTCTTCCTCCTCCTACTTTGCCAATAAATGGAAGTTTTGCACCAAGGTCCTGACCAGGTATCTTTAGTGTGGTTCTTTCCAAATGGGTTGTGACTAACATATCAGAACAGCTGATAAATCAGGTCACTGTAATCCCAATTAGTGTGGAAGGCATCCAGTTTAGATATTCACAAGCTTATTCTTGAGTGTTAACTCTCTGTGGTTCAAACACTGTAGAAGATTTGAGAGAGATGTTTGTGTGTGTGTGTGTGTGTGTGCATATAGAGAAAGGGTTATAATAGAGAAAGGTTTATATAAATTGAATATTGAAAGTTTGAAGAGGAAGTCAACATGCGATTTTAAATGAATAAAATGGTTTTCTGTTTATTGGAAGGAAAATGCAGTATTTTCCTGGATATTTAGGTGACACAGATTTAGCAAATTTGACTGTAGTTTTCATGAGTTGCATTTATTTATGTGTAAAGGTGGATCACTGGGGGGGGGGTGTCCATGCAGATCCATCCCACTTCTGATCTGATTTAAAGTTCTCAGGTATGTTTGTGTCCTGCCTCATAACAGCCTGGTGCTGGAATAAGAGAATTTGGTAGGCCCCAGCTACCCACAAGGAGCTTTTATCTAAGGGCAGATCATAGGAAAGTATAGGCCACTGACTACGCCCTAGTAAGTGATATTTCCCTCCACAAATACTTGCACAAAATGTGGCTCAATTTTTGGCATGGGAATCTGCATAGGTAAGTTTCATTTTTCTTGTGCAAAGCTGTATTGTGAAATAGTCTATGGAGGAGGAGGAGGAGGAGGGGGTGGGGAGGCTGAATGTGAAATCTAGGAAAAAAAGTGCCTCTGTTGCTCTAAGCAGTATGTGGTACATCATTGGATGTTTGCAATTTTTCAATTTCGCAGACAAGCATAAACATACATAGAGTTTGAGAATTTGGGGTAGAAAAACCTTACTGCAGGATGACAGAAATTTGAATATAAGCTCTTGATTACAATAAAGGTAAAATAAAAAGTGTTTTGTATTACCTCATCATCTTGATCTGATTCTGTTTCCTTTGGGTCCCAAGATGAATTGCGGAGACAAGGAATATTATAACAGACAGCAGGGAAAAGAATATCAGGATATGTAAAAGGCCGAGTAAGGGAGCACAAAAATGCAAGCTAATTCATCATAGACAAAGCAAACAAATGTCAACGGAAAAAAAAAGGTTAACAAACAAAACTATACATCAAATGCAAATCAATACATGACAATTACTAAGAGCAGAAAGTCTAGCGACTCTAAGCAGAAGCAGGATCTGTGAACAAAATTTCCCAGCCTTAAAAACAACAAACTATGGGCAACTGGGAATTTTTAAAATGCTTTCTGCTTAAAGGGTGCAAAATACTCCAAGTCCAAAGTTTTTGAGCTCAGAATCGCTTGGCGCAGGACATTTCAAACTTGGGATGTTTTCCACACTTTTACTTTCTGCATACACAAAAACAGTTAATACATAGAGAGGCCAGCTTAATCCGAGGGCAAGACAGTCATTCCTCTTTGCAGCACATACTAACTCTTTAATGCTGCTGCCAGGGATATTAAGCTGCCCCGTGGGCTGTACCTTTTTGTGTGCTGGCAGAGTGATATTCAAGTTGCAAACGGCCGTCTGGGGCAGACCCTTGGTGGTCTTTGGCTCTTTCAGAAAGGATAAGCGGCCACAAGGCTCTTGGCTGGTGTCTCGGATCTACGAGTCAATAAGACATCACAGGTTGGTTGGAAAGAGGGCTTCAGTTCGCATTTCCACTACATTTAGTTTGCCAGTTTAATCAAAAGAAGAACTGTCCAAGAATATTTCTTGAGAATAAAAGGAGCACATGCTAAGATGGGATCCCCTTCTATGCCCTTACAGTACACATTAGCTTCCCAGAGAGGTGGTGCTCTCTTCTTCCCACTCTAGGTTGCCAAAGTCCAACGTTGGGACAGCAACCATGAGGTCCCTCAGCTGCCCGAGCTTCATAAAGCTGCAGGAGTTGGTCAAAGTTTGGAAGCATTTTTTCTTTATGCCCAACTGTTCTTCATAACAGGCTTACGTGACTGCTGCCCTTTAAGAAACAGTGGCTGAAACTATGGGATAGAAATCAGTGGTGAGTTCCTACTAGTTCGGACCGGTTTGGCTGAACTGGTAGTAGCTTGCTGGCCTGGGTTACTGGAACCAGCAGTGACCCCGGCCTGCCATGCCCCCAAACCGGTTCTCCTGGAGGCACCATAGGCACCGCTATCTTGTTTTTTGCTTCTGCGCATGAGAGCAACTTTAGTTATACTACACATGCATGCGCGTGTTACATCTCTGAGCAAACCAGTAGTAGTCTCTGCTGAAACCCACCCCAGGTAGAAATGTTAAACTGAATATGTCAACTGCATACAAAGAAAACTCTGTATAAAATGTTTTATAGATGGTACTTTGCACCAGCAAGATTGGCTAAGATGTATAAAATTAGATCTGCTTAATGTTGGAAATGCAATCCATCAATAGGTTCACACCAGCAGGAATGGGCCAGGAGGGCCACCTAAAAACGATCGATCTGGGGGCACCAGAAAGATCTTGGCCATTTCCAGGCTCACCATTTCCAGAGGTGACAATGAGCACTTGGGAAGGGCTTTCAGAACCCCAAACCAACAAATCAGATTGTGTCTCAATGCAAGGATGCACACAAAGAGCAGCAAGGTTGGTCTTCAACTAAGAGGAAATGCTAGGAAGCCCCTCAACCATCCAGAGGAAGCTCATTCCATGCCTGTTTTTGTCGCCAACCCATCTCCCCTAAGAAGTTTGTGCCAAGCGTGTGATGGCACATGGAGAGAGCCATCCCCAGAAATATCCCAAGCATCTCTTTTGAAAAGAACAATGTTGTCAGATCACAAGAGCTTAGTCCCGATCTTATGGCAGCTGTGGCTTTTACCTTAATAGAAAATGGCAGTCTATTTTCTTTGAAAGCATAAAAATTAAATACAAGCTGCTGTCCCCCTTTGGTTAAAGGAGCTAGATTTCCATAACAATCCACATAAATGGGTTTTCCTTCCAAAACCTGTTGGAGAGAAAAAAAACAAGCCTGGATTAATACCCAAAGAATTAAAATAAATGGGATGTCCCTCACTTTACGAACACATTTTTCCAGGCTCTTATATGACAGGCTACATTATTATTTATTATTATTATTATTTATTTGTCTTGTATGCCGCCCTCTCCTGGAGGACTCCGGGCAGCTCACAAAAGACAAGGGAAAGGGGGGGAATGAGACAAACACAACATAT